TTGATTTCCAAACTGACCATAGACATGAGACTAAAGAGGTGGTGAGGCAAACGTTAATTTCGACACTGACCCTAGAGGTGAGGCAAACGTTAATTTCGATGCTGACCCTAGAGGTGAGGCAAACGTTAATTTCGACGCTGACCATATAAATACTATATGGGGGATCTCGTGGTGTAGAGGTACTGTGTTTGCCACTCATTCAATAGGTCCCAGGTTCGAAACCTGATGGATTTTTTCTTCTCTAAAGCGTTCTCCTTTCACCTCCTTTACTGCTTTCTAATCATATTCTGTCATGTTTTTTTCACCTCCACTTTCAGCCCCCCCCCCCCCTCCTTTCTCCCCCGGGGTCCTGACTCCATCTCCTGGTATATAACGACATTATATGGTCGCCTTTAAGGACGAGCGGGCTAACCCAGATTTCGGGGGGTTTCCAGAAATCTTGATCTACACTAAACGTGGGCATTGCTCTACCTTTAGGAGAAGTTTAGTTTCATTGGTGTGAATATTTGTTTGGTTATAGAGAAAACTCTCCTTGTCTTTTAAAGAAACTGAACAAGGGGCAAAAACTTTAACTTCGATTTTCTCAAAACAGGAGTTTTCGGGATAGCCCCCTTATGCTTAAAATCGACCTTATAATTATCTTTTTATCGTTCTTTCCTCATCCTCCCTGTTCAGGTGATCAACAACGGGCCAGTTATCGAGTCTCTGCCAGCTGCCGTGGACGTCAGTGAATCAGCCGTGGACGAAACAGTTCTACACACACTCACGGTCTCCGATCTGGTGAGTGGGTGGTTGGCGATTGCTTTGGTGTGGTTGGCTCTTTTTTTTTCATTAAAATATCTACCCGGTCCTTATCTTTCCTCCTTTTTTGTGTTAATAGATCTCTTGTAACGCCTCTAATTTTCGGCTCTTAAATTAGTGACCTCATTGTGTTGCAAGAGCTCTAGTTAAATTTTCTATTTGTAGTGATACTGTGTATTACGTGTATCGAGTGAAGTTGATAATTTATTTATTGTACATTCACACGTATCGTATTTATCATTGTTAACCAAATCTGTTTTCTCAAGGGGATCAATACTCATGGGTGGGCTAATGGAGGATCCCACTGGTAGGTCCCATTTCGTTTCTTTCCCTCTCTTGTTTCTGCCGATCTGTATAAATATTTCTTTGCAATAAGCGAACCTTATTGTGTCGATATACGAAAATGACAATGACAATGAACTCTTTATTCACCTCGAACGAAAATAACAATGATATTCTATTTCATTATCATTTATTGAGTATACTTTTTTGTTTTAGTAGAGGTTTTACGGCGCTTGCAACTGCATAAGGTCATATGAGCGCCAAATTTATCATACTGTTTTTCTAATCTACAATAGGACGGAGACGACATCACATGTAGCGTAAGCTCTTCCCCTTCAGGTCCATTCAGCACCAAATTCGTGTACGACAATGGAAACCTGACGAGCGCCGTGATCCTCCAAGCCTCCCCCTCTCTCTCCGCCTCAACAACGTCAAGCTATGAACTAACAGTAACGTGCCAGGATACCAGCAGTGCAAGCGATTCGAACACACTATATGTCTACGTCACTCAAAACAGCGTACCCGTCATCTCTAACCTGCAGAACATGACGACCATCTCGTCCAACTTGTCCTCCGGAAGTGAGGTCTTCAGAGTCTTGGCAACAGATCCGGAAGGGGATCAGACGTTCTTTTCTTTGACTTGTGTCACTCCGGCGTCTCCCTGCCCTTTCCAGATTTATTCTACAGGAGCGATTCTCTTGTCTAGCTCTTTGACCGGGACCTCAACAGCTGGGTAAGGTCCATTGTACACTTATCTGTCCCCGGGGTTTTATGCACCCCGCGTAATTTAGCTAAATTTGATCACTTTTTGCATGATTTCTGATTATTTTCCTTTATCAATCTTTGCTAAAATTAACAGAATAGCATAATTTTACATTTTTGCGCTCAATTTGCAGAATTTTAGAATTTTTGTGTGCATAAAACCGCGGGGACAGACTTATCGTGCAAATATTCACACTTCAACATAAACATAAAGTGGTCATCGAGCGATGAGAATAGTGATACAAACCTTGTACTCTGAGCTCAATTTCTAAATTTCTAAGTGGCCAGGGGGAATATTTCTTTGAGTTTAGAGAAGCACACGGACACGATAACGATCATTTAGTTTTGGGAAATAGCAAGCCAGGCCAACAGAAACTACAGAGAAAAAGAAAAGAAGCAGGTGGCCAAAAAGAAAAGTTTGAGCGCCAAATGGAATAGGTCTTTGGTTGCAAACAATTGCAGCAACACCGTTAAAAAAGACATCAGTAAGAACAAAAGCCGAAATGCCATACCTGAGTGAGTAAATTTTTTTTCTTATAACGTTACCTCCCACCTACCCCCCCCCCCCCCCCCAACCTTGGGTTTCTCCCCTATTCTCAATCCACGCCCGGCCGCCAAAATCACAAACGCACTAATATAAATTGTCGCTTTTAAGGACAAGCGGGCTAACCCAGATTTCGGGGGTTTCCAGAAATCATGACCTATCCCAAAAGTGGGCATTGTTCTACCTTTTGGAGAAGTTTAGTTTCATTGGTAGGTATATATGTTTGGTTATAGAGAAAACCCCTTGTCTTTTAAAGTTACTGAACAAGGGGCAAAACTTTTACCTTCGATTTTCTCAAAACAGCAATTTCCGGGATAGCCCCCTTGTGCTTAAAAGTGACCAAATAAACCCTACATAAATGTATGCATATATGCACATATCTTTCAAATCCCTAATTCCCCCCTCCCCCCTCCAGGTACGAGGTCGACGTGACGGTCAATGACGGCCAGACCACAAGCGGCACACACAGGCTGACCGTTCTTGTTGAAGATCTGAACACTGCCCCGTCACTCACGTGAGTCTCGCATGTTAAAAAAAACCCAACAACCAACAACAACAACAAAAAACCCAACAGTTTCTCCGAGACATTTTCTCTTTTCACTGCCTGGCCCGAGACTGTCTCGCGTTCTCGGTTGAACAGTGAATCGTGAGTAGGAGGGAATTCCTATGTGCTTCCCGGGAATTTGAGAATGTTTCTGAGTTTTCTATGGTCTGCAAGGGTAATAATAATTAAAACGTTAAGGGCAGAGAGCTTGCCGTTGAGCGTGGTATGCGCTATACAATTGCTATTTGAATTTAAGATTAATTTCAGCTCATATCCTCCACTTGGGATTTTTGTTTTTTTCAAGGCACTTATATGACCTCTTTGTGTGGCAAGGGCCGTAAAATGTTTACTAAAACTTTAAAATGAAATAAAAGGGCTCTCGAGGCATAGAGGTTAAAATGTTGGCCTCTCATTCAAAGGTCCCAGGTTCGAATCCGGGTGGCGACCGAAAAATTTTCTTTTCTAAAATTATCTCCTTTCACCTCCTTTCCTGCTCTCTAGCAATGTTCTGTCGTCTGCTTTCGTCTCCTCTTTATTCCCCCACCCGGTCACCTCCTTTGCCCCCTCTTCTGGGCTCCTGACTATTTCTGCAGTCGTTCTACTGCTACTCCTTGGCTCCTTACTGCTGTCTTTCAGCCACACCCCTGACCTTCTGGTAGGAAAGATCTACACCTACACTTCTCGGACAAAGGCGAAAAACTCGGAGGGCCCGTGTGCAAGTTGTGCACGTTAAAGAATCCTTGGTGGTCTAAAATCGATCAGAGTAGGCTTCGGCCGCCACCCGGGCAAAATTCAAAATTTCCGACGAATTGAAAATGTATGGTGTGCCCCACGCGCTCATAATATATGACCTTATGCAGTTTCGAGCGCCGTAAAACAGTTACAAAAAACCCCCCCAAAAACCAACAACACTAAAATCTGACGAATGCCTCCTCCCCCCCTCCCCCCAACCTTTTTTCCCCGCC